TTTGGGGCTCGTATTTGTCTCACTCAAATGAGAGATACCACATGGTATTTAAGCTTGTATGTCTGATTTTACACAACATTATATTTTTCTGGTACATCCATTTTCCTACAAATGTGTCAAATGTGTCCTTCTTTGTAGCCAATTAGTATTCCACTATATATAAATACTACATTTTCTTTATCCAATCGTCTGCTGATCAGTATATGGGCTGCTTCCAGAATTTAGCTGTTACAAATTGGGCTGCTATAAGCACTGGTATGCATGTATTGCTGCAGGATGATGATTTAAAGTCTTTGGGGAAGATACTTAGCAAGGGAGATGATATCTGGGTTCTATGGAATTTCTAATTTCAATTCCTTGAGAAATCTCCACTGATTTGCATACTGGTTGTACTAGTTTGCATTCCTACCAATAGTGGAGAAGGGTTCCTTTTTCACTACAGTCATACCAGCATGTGTTTTTTTGTTTGTTTGTTTTTTTTTCTCCGGTACCGGGAACCGAACTCACGACCTTGCGCTTGCCAGGCAGGTGCTTTTGCCGCTGAGCTAAATCCCCAGGCCCCAGCATGTGTTATTGTTTGATTTCCTAATGGTGCCAATCTTTTCAGAGTAAGATGGAATCTCAGTGCTATTTTAATCTGCATTACTCTAATGGCTAGAGATGTTAAAACATTTTTTTTTTTTTTTATATATTTGTTGACAGTTGTATTTCTTCGTCTGTTAAGTGTCCATTTCTCTTGCCCACTTCTTGACTGGGGTCTTTAATTTTAGGTGTTTTAATTTTTTTGAGTTCTTTGACTATTTTAAGTATTAGTTTTCTGTTTGAGGAGTAGCTGGCAATATTTTTTTTCCCCTTCTGTAGGTTATTTCTTTACTGACTGATTCTTTTGTTGTACAGAAGCTTTGTAGTCTGATATAATCCTGTTTGTGGATTCTTGCTATTTCTTATGCAACTGAGGTTTTGTTTAGAAAATAAACCATCGTAGTTGTAGTGTGCATAGAGGATAGACAAAGGGGGAAAATGCAATTGCGAGGACTATCATACAGAAGAACTGTATGATTGAATCTATTGCTGCTATAACCACAAGTAATTCTTTCAGCAAAACATAGGGACAGAGTCCAAATCACTTAAATAATAGAAGTAGTAAATACTTGCACAGGACATACAAAGCTGAAAATAACTCAAGGGAGGCAACATCCTATTAAAAATCTCCATATAAAATACAAACTTGTCTCAGCTATTTGGGCAAACATTCTGGATGTTTCTAGGGGTGTGTTTATGGATGAGATTTACATTTGGTATTTGAGTAAGGCAGCCTGTCCTCTTTCATGTGGATGGGTCTTATCTACTCATTTGAAGGCCTGGGTAGAACAAAAGCTTGACCTCCCCTGAACAAAACACAATACCCAACACTTGCGATGCAAGAGAGGTTTATTCTGGCTTACACTTTCAGAAGTTTCAGCCATGGTTGGCAGGCTCACAAAGACGTGGCCTGGGGGAGGAACGCTGTTCCATCGTTAGTGACCAGGAAGTAGACAGCAAAGGGAGGATTCAGGGAGGGAGGGCTACCCTTCCAGGTCGGCCCCCAGTGAGCTGCCGCTTCTCACCAGCCTCTACCTCCTAACAGCACATTCAGCTGTGGTGCCCCATGATCCAGTCACCTTTTACAAGCCTCACATTGAAGCACATGAGAATTTTGGTGGGGGCGTCATTCTCAATTTAAGCCAAACACAGTGTGAACCCATATTGGTAAACCTTGACTAATCAAAATGCATTTCTTCCACTGTAATCCAGCACCATTAGGATCTACACACACACACACACACACACACACACACACACACACACATTTATGTTTATACAAAGTTGGCAAAACTAATATTTTGTATTCCGCCTCCTCATAGGACATGTTTTATACCTTATTTTGTACAGCAAAACCGACTTCAGTCTAGCTATAGGTTCAGAAGCAATAAAAATTGCTTATCTTTTGCAAGACAACTTGCATATCCTATTACAGATTTTTCCAACAAGGAAGACTTGCCTTCCCAGATAGGGTACAAGGACTATTTCTACTGGCAAAGAAGGCACAGTAGAATTTAGAAGTCCATAGCACAGGCTCCCCTGGAACTCATTTACATGTCCACATCCCATTTCCAAGGAAAGAGAGACCCTGCAAGCTTCAGAGTTTTGGTTTGTGTTGAGCATAATTCAGCCACCTCCAGGATTAGACATCTCAGCTTTACAGCCAGAGGGGATACAGGTTTCTCTTAGAGTAAATGTAGTAGCTTTCAGTTCCATAACCTGTATTTTCAGCTCTGAATTTAAAACTCTAGGCTCTTTATTTTCATTCTCAAGGTTGTCCAGTATAAAGTCCCATTATACTCTTTATTTAGTAAAGTGTTCTCTGTCACTAACTGCCAGTTTGACTAAAACTTTATCATCTATAGGTACTTGGTTACATGTGACAATTTAAATAAATCTTTTGCCATACATTACCAGTGTCTCCTTTACCACTGGCTTGTAGATCTAATCAAAGCAGAACACCAATTAAAGCGAACCCAGAACCAATTAGAGAACTTATCCATTAGGTTATATTCCTTTGGAACTAATTCTGATTCCAATTTCTGTATATGTCAGCATTTATTTATTAAAGAAGACAGAGGTACTCTTAAGTGACAAAGGATATGGGATTTATTTTGGGAATTTGACACTATGGAATTAGACACTACTACAAGAGCTGATGGAAGAGTCAGCCTAGATCAGGCAGGGAATGGGATGTTGTTCCAACCTAGCTAAGCTGATATAGTTCAGAGCCACCACAATTGTGTTTGTCCCCATAATATAATTTATACTGCTAGGTACTTCACAATTTTCCATAAGGAAGTATAAAGTCATGAAAGATAGACTTACTTAGACATCAGCCAAAAGACTGCATTTTTGATAACTGCTATTTGCTAAGTACACGTTATTTGTCAAACCCTTTACATTCCATTTAGTCATCATAAAATATTATGAAATAAATATTATTATACCCCATGTCAGACAGGATTCTCCAGAGAAACGGAACTGAAAGGGTCAGGGGGAGGGGTGTAGTCAAATCCAGAGACAGTCAGGCTGGAGACCTGATCAGAAAGAGCTGAGACTGCAGTGGAGGTCCAAAGGATGTCTGCTGTGGAATTCTTTGACTATGCATTATTTTGGACTTTTTACATATATAATCATGCTGTCTGTTAAGGAGGACTGATTTCTTTCTTCCTTTATCAATCTTTTGATTCTTTTTTCTTGCCATACAGTATTGACTAGAACTTCCAGGACAAAGAGCAGATCTTAAAAGGAATATTATCAGTATTTTTTGTCACTAAGAATCATGTTTGCTGTACAATAGATAACCTTATAAACTTAAAAAAGAGTGAATTCCTAGTTTGCCAAGATTTTAAGAAAAAGTCTGTGAGTGGTTATTACATTTTATCAAATGCCTTTTTTATCTATTAAAATCATATGATTTTTCTCTTTTAATAACAATATGGTAAATTATATCAGCTGATTTTCTAATCTTATACCAACTTTGCATTCCTCAGATAGACCCAAACTGGTAATGATGCTTTTGCTAATTCTTCTAATACTTTTAGTAGCTTAAAAAGTTATCTAACATTTAGCTTTGCATATTAATGGTTAAGAGTTCTCCAATTAATTGCAAGCACAAATCTTTTTCAATCTAAATAAACTGCAATTCACCATTCAGCATGTGCACCCAGAAATTCCTCTTGTCATGGTGCCAAGGTAAAAGGTTCACTCTCAGATCTCATATGAATCAAGTAGCAGATTTTTACAGAACATAATAGTTAAGAACATACTGTCTTTGCACAACTGAATTTGAGTACGTTCTTGAGCTCTCTTGGTTTCTGTTTCCCTAGCTATAAAGCATGACTCATGTTACATACTTGGTAGGGGTACTGTGAAGATTAAGTACACGTAAGCTGCTTAGAACAAAGTACAAGGTCCACATTCAGTAAATATCACCTATCACTGCTAATTTCCTTTTTGATAAAGTATTTTCAGAAAGAATTTTTTAGACTCCTATTTCTCTGAATACTCTTTGCTGTTCTCTCAGTAGAATCTTGAAGGTTAAATTCTGGCACTTGGTCCTCAGACAGCTTCATTTCTCTATCTATATTCTTTTTCAACATATTCTCATTCTATGCCTGTAAAAATCATGGTACACCAACGATTCCCACCTTCATAGCTCCTGGTGCAATCTGTTCCCGAATGCTAAAAGTACACACCCAACTGACTAGTTATTAGACTGACTTAAACACCTTCTGGGGCAGTTCACACTTAACATGACCCAAAGCAAACTTTTTTTTGGGTTACCTCCAACCTTTTCAAACCTAGTCCTAAGCACCATTATTTTATAGTTGGGCCCTTACAGCACCTTTGTATCTTTACAACCTATGTATTTTTAAAATGTACTTTATTTTTGGGCAATTTTAGGTTAAGTCTATTCTTCATACAGCAGTCCAAGTCATCTGTTGATTACTTAAGAGATCACTTCATTTTGCTCAGAGCCTTGCAATTTGAAGTTCTAGGGCATCCCATTTCATTCAGCACAAAATCTCAAATGTGTCCTAAGGAAGGTTGGAAAATGCTTTTCTTAAGGGGTCAGAAAGCAAACATTTTAGGCTTTGTAGGTTAAATGGACTCTGTAACTACCGAATTCTACATAGGTTCTATCTATATGTAGTAAGATTATAAACTATCATGTGCAACAAAAGTCACAGAATTTGCATAATATACATGAAATTTACAAAAATATACAACACTCACTCTGATTTACAGTGCTTAATATTTTCATAGTAGCCCAAAATATGTTTGCTGGATAAAAAGGCTAAATACAAGGTACAGATTTACACATTTTTACAAAAAAATTATGGCAAGAACATAAACTACAGGTTTAAATAATTTACTCTCTAAAACATGTCAATGATTAATAAGAGACTTACTTGAGATTGCTGATTCTAATTTCTGCACTTTCAGTGAGTTTCTTTGTTTCTTCTTTCCATTTATTGGCCGCCTTCTGTTGAGTTGCTAAGAGATGCCTCAGTTCAATAGTGGAATTTCGATTACTGTCTTCCATCTCTCTTAACTGAACTTCAAACCCATGCTCCTTTATTGAAAATTCATGCTCCATTGTACTGATCTAAAGAATAAAATTCACACACTGTTTTCCCTATTATGTAAGAGCTGTAGTGATCAATGTAGTATGCAAGAGATTATTCATTGCATTGTCTGAGTTTTAGAAACTTTTTTCTGAGAAATTTATGTAAGAAATTAACTTTTAAAATGTGTCTTTATCACAAATAAAGACATCCTATATTATAATATAAATGAGTTGATTTAAACTTAAGACGGACCTTACTTTTTTGCAACCCTTTCCCCAACACCTTAAAATGCCAGTAGTTAAAAAGAATACAACCTAAAACTGTTTATTTAATTTTATTTTCCTGCCAGAATCTACAAAAAATGTTCATGTTCTTAGTAAATTGTTTTTGATTTATATACTAATTTTCAGATTATTTTCCAAAGTTATTTTTAAAGTAAAAATGAAAATTATATACAAGAATTTCTTTACCACTTTCAGTTGTAGTATTAATAAACAGTGTATTTTTTTTCCAGAAAAACAAAACAAAACAAAACAAAAACACATGGGAATCTCACATGGGAATATCTTCATTATGTTTCTGGGAATTTATATTATTGTACTAACAACACCGTCATGTAGAATGAAAGTACAGCTGAGAAGCTCCCTCAATTGGGGTTTAGGGAGAGATTTAAATTCTAATTCGTTAAGGTATCTTGTTTATATAAAGAATTACCTTTCCTCATTAACACCTAAAATGGAACTCCTATGTCCCAGCACCTGAGAAAACAGTCAGTGGAATTACTTTCTGTGTTCTGTGGTTAAGAAGAAAACCTTGGTGGGTCTTAGGCATTTGTTATATTTATTAAAATCATATCCCCTTAATTCTTTTAAAAGTTATCAAAATAGTTTTAAATATTTTATATGATAATCTGTTAATTTTCCACTTGCAACAACTTCTATTTTTATTTTGTTATGTTCTTAATCAGTTCAACATTCACCTACATTTCCTACCAATATTTTACAGTATCATGAAGTTTTAAATTGTTAATCCACACATTTTATAAATTTTATGAGATGAAGCTATAATATTTCCTCCCTACTGTAACTGACTTGTTTAAGTTTTAGAAATGTTTTGGTATGGGAACTTTCAGGCACACACAAAATATGCGGTAATGAATTCCTATTTGCCCATTACCCAACTTTCATACTCACAGCTATCAAACTCACAGCCTCCTTTGCTTTCCCTACGTTCCTGTCTACTCTGCCTTCCTAAAATGTATCTTTGACTTACAATGTCAGTTTTAAGGGCACAGTTCAGTTTTACCCACACACTGACACAACACGGTCACCTCAGATTCCGATATCCCAGGAGGCTGTCCTGTGCCGTTTATCAGTGTTTGCCCATCTCAGAGGTCACCACTACTCTCAATCACCCTTACAGGTAACTGGACCTATCCTTCACTTTGAGATATGCAAACATTAGAACATACGCTTTTCAATTTCCGGCTTCTCTGACAGCATACCTGCAAAATCCACCCACTATTGCTTATCAACATAGTTCATTACTTGTCATTGCTGCATCTAGTCCATTGCATGAATACACCACAATTTGACTAGATAACCTCATGCTGATATTTGAGTTGTCTCAGTGTTTTGATTTGATTAAAATTTTTATGAACATTCATATACATGTTTTGATGAACACTGCACTCACACGTGTGTACAGAGAGGATATTTGACATAGGAAATATGTGTGTCTATTCTTAAAAGACACTGCTAAATGATGGTTGATCCTTTTGCATTTCCACCAGTACTGTATTAAAGTTCCCATTACTGTATATACATATTAATACTCGATATTGTCAGTTTTTAAAATTTTAACCATTCTGGTAGATGTGTAATGCTACCTCCTTGTAGTCTGAGTTTACATTTGTCTCAATAACTATGAATTTGAATATATTTGCATATATTCTCTCTATGAAATAACCATTAAGACTTTTGGCTCATTTTTGGAAATAGATCATATCTTTTTGCTTACTGTTAGCTGTTTTTGCCTTACCAATATTTTTTATTAATTGGTAGTTTTTATATTGTGGATATGAGGATTTCTGTTTTTATGTATTTCAAATACTTTTGCCCACTTTTCATTATTTTAATATGTCTTTCCTGACTAAAAAAACCTTGATTTTAATGAAATCTAATTCATTTGTCTGTTCATTATGATTAGTGCTTTTTGTGTTCTGTTTAAGAAAATTTTTCTACACAAGGACATGAAAAGATTCTCTTAGAAATTCCAGGGTTTAATCTTTCACATTTCTGTCTACAAGCCAGTTCAAATTAATTTGCAGATATGATATAATTAAGGAGTCAAGGTTTATCCTTAAAATATGGATCTAATTAATCTATTCATTTATTGTGAAGACAACTCTCTTACTGTACTACAGTGGCTTTCATTTTGATAGCATGATTATTAAAAATGAGTTCATTCTGGACTCAACTTTATGCTGTTGATCAACCTTATCTATGATGTTGAAAACACACTGTCTGAATTAGTGTGGCTTTATATCAAGTACGGTTCTTTTCCTTGTCCTTTAAAGACTTCCCACAGCTAAAGGCATAGTCAGACTTCTTTGTATGATAAATGAATCTCTCTTTTTCATTTCAGAGTTCACGTTTTTATAAATACCTAGTGTCTGATACTTGCAATAGGAGGCATTCATTAAATATATGTTGCTATGAATTAGGTTTGAATGTGACTTGAGTCACTGCAGCAGGGAAAAAAGGAAAACACTAATGTTACCACCTTGTGTCCTTGGAAGACGCAAGTTTTTATCATTACTTCGATGTTTTACACAAGTTTCATGGAATGAAGACAAGTAAAGGAGACGCTGATGGTTTGGTGAAACTCCCTTAACCAGGCTGTCATGCTCCTGTTGCTGAAGCATGCATGCACAGAATAATCGGGAGACAAGAGACAGGGAAGTTTTATTTTTAGATGAGACTTTTGCTCCCTGCCTTCTTCTTGGCGTGAAGGCTTCAGACTAGTGGTGAGTGGCTCCCAAATCATACTGACATATCACACTCTTACAGTTAGTTTTAGAGAAGTTCAATTTTTGAGAGGCTATAATAAAGGGAGAAGACAGCAAGGTAGTCTGTAAAGTTATCTAATCTATGGTTTTGCTAGTGCTGCTCAAATTGCTTTGGCAGGAATATCAGTGTATTTCATGGTTGAAAAAGAATTTTTGTGCGTGTGTGCAGATAGTGAAGGCAATCATTTTCAAGTATGCTTGCCAAGTTTTACAATACAGAAATGACTGGTTAACACTGAATTATGATTTGGTGCTATCTGATGAGAAGGAAGAAAAAGGTCTGAAAATGTTTTACTAGGTCTCCATACTTTTTTCTCTACTCTCTACCCCTTAATTTTCTCGAAACCACATCTAACTCTAACGAGTCTTGAAAATACCTTTAATTTGGCTTTTTTTTGAGCCTCCAGAGCAATCTTTCTTAAATGGTCGGTTTCCTTGTGTAACTGTTCATTTTCTTCCTGAAGTTTAAGCCTTTGTTCACTGACAAAGCCGCAGTTCTCTCTTTCCGACTCCAACACATTTTGAAGTTTCTGAATCATTTCATGGGAACGTGATATCTCTTCTGAGGAACTGATTTAAAAAAATGGAAGTAAAAGAAGGTGCTTTAAACTTAATGATGTGTAGTAGAAATCAAGATGTCTGTCTACATTTTATGGCGCAGGCTTTTGTTTTCTTAATTCTGAGCCATTTCTTTTCACTTTAGGCTTATGCGGTTTCAAAGCATTATGCAATACCAGGAAAACACATTTAATTTAACAAGCTTAACTAAGAATAGATAAATGGAGTTCACTCATCTAGAAAATCAGTATGAAATAGCTTTCAAATTTTGCTAACATTGAGAATCACTGTAGAAGGGCTTTCCAAGGGAACAAACTGAAGGTAACAGTAAAAAAGATGCAGCAGGGAGGAAATCAAAACTCCTCCGTCAATCACCTCCACAGGAAAACACAACAGCTGACTACATTTCTAAATTATAATGATAAATTTTATTTTCATATATGTCTCAGAAATAGTCTTTATAAGTTCTAGTTCTATGTGAGGCATGGTGGTGAAGTTTAAATTAAAAAAACTTAGAGTAAAATATACTTTGCTATTAATCCTCCTCAAAATATCCCCCCTTGTTTTGAATAAACTTATTCCATTGTTCCTGCTACTTTCTGAAGCAATTCTATAAAAGCAGTTCTTTAGTGAATGTTTTTAGTTGTGCCGTTGTGGGTGCCTTAATGTTCTGAATCCATTCAAAATGTTTACCTTTTCTTCTGACTTTGGGGAAGATCCAGAAGTCTCCTGGTGCCAGATCTAGTGAATAAGGTGGATTGAGGACACACCGTAATGGTTTTACAAGCCTGTCTTTCCACTGGATGGCACCATATTTTCTTGTAAAGACTCTCAGGAAAGAGGACTTTCTAAACCGCTTAAGGAAATATTAAGAATGATTGGATAAGTGTATTCAAAGTAAGGAGGAGTATTCTGAGTGGGATTAGTGACAATATGTCTTTAACTGTAATAATTCTTTTCTCTAACATTGGAACATTCACCATATTTTTGATTTTGCATTGTACAAACAACTTCCATATAGCTGCAGTTTTACCATCATGAACCGTACCTTCAAGGTCTACTTTGAGAGTGCAGCTTGCCCACACCTGGCAAAACTTCAGGTGGACACAGTGATTTTCTCTAACCTTGACCTTGGCCATTCTAGATCACTGTTTTCCCAGCTCCTCCTATATTCTTGTAAATTTTGATTCTTACATTAAATTTTTTATTTCCACAAAATTTATAGCTCTTTTTTCCTACCTAAACCTTACGTGATAAAGTTTCTACTGAATGATGTACCTAGGCAACGGCAATAAGGACGTTAATATCACAGATGCTAAAATCAGAAATAACCATACATTACGGGCCTCCTGACAGAAGTCTACAATATTATCATCTGTGAGATAGTCTTACAAAAAAGAAAAGAAAGACCAGATCAAAGCTCTTGGTCTAATTATCAGTTTTTAGGAACTATATGGGACAGAGAAATAAAGTAAATCACATTACACATATGTGTGTAATAAAGGAAACTCTCCACTACAAAATAACTGCTTTTTCAACCAATTATTTGAAGAGGAAAAAACCAGAAAAGTATAAGGAGACCCACGAAGCGTTACTGCTAGCCCTCCTAAAGCCAGAAGTGGGTAGGAGAACTCACAGACACTCAAGAGCAACCTTCTGAAGCAAGTGATGTAAGAGAACATTTATGAAGTGTACCTTAGAGTGCATATGAATGAAAACTTGCAATGCGGAGAAACCATATGTATGCAGAGCATATGGGAAAGCCTCCCCTGCTTCCTCACATAGTACTGGACATGTGAGAACTTGTACTGGAGAGAGGCATACTGCTTATAGAGAATATGTGAAAACACTGCACAATTCCTGCTTCCTTATACAAGCAGAAGAACTCCCTGAGAAGATTCTATACATATACAGATGGGATAATCTTCACCCTTTACTGAACACTTAAAATTTACCCTGGAGAGAAGCTTACTGCATGTAAGGAACATGGAAAAGCTTTTCACTCAATCCTCACACCTTACTAAATATATAAAAGCACATTCTGGGAAAGAAGTCTTATACATGTGAAGATTGTGGGGAAGGTTTTTGGTCATCCTCATACCTTACATAAGGTAAGAATCCACACTGAAGACAACCCGTATGGAAGTAAGAAAAATGGAAAAGAATTTATATTTTCCTCATCTCTTAGTATGTAAGCTCTCACACAGAAAAGAAACATTACAATGTAATGCATGTAGGAAAGTCTTTAGAAAAGTTTCCATCATCTAATCAGAGAAAAGCCTTATGAATGTCAAGAATGCAGAAAAGACTTTATTTGTTCAGTTTACCTTAATAAACATGAATAAATTCACAGCAGAGGGAAGCCCTATATAGATATACAAGGAACATATAAAAGCTATAGTTGGCACTCAAAACTTAACATTTACATACAAACTCACATATGAATTTAAAGACTGTAAAACAGACTTCAACTATGTCATGGGAATCATGGGAAAGTCATGGGAATCAATCCAAACTGAAGTGAAACATTATTAATGTAAGGAAGTAGTATGACTTTGGATTATTACTTTTCCCTTTGGAAACAACTAAGAACCCAAAAGGGAGAAAAGCTGCATTAAGAAAACTTTACTGACTTATGTTTTTATAATACACAGAAAAATACTGCAGAGAATGTGGGAAAGCCTTTATTTTTTCCTTGTATCTTAGAATTCATGAATGAACTTACAGCAGGGTAATACCTTAAAAATGTAGGAAATGTGGAAAAGTATTCATTTCCTTTCTATCCCTGAAGAAAGATGTGAACATAGAACTATAAAGATCCCTTATGAATACAAGGCATGTGGGAAAGCCTTCAGTTTTCCCTGGACAGTGAAGAACATATCCAAACTCACAGTAGAAAAAACCATTATGAATGAAGAAAACAGGGAGTTTTCTGTGCCTGTATCCTTTAGGACATATGTGAAAATTCACTCTGGAAAAAAATTTTATGAATATAAGGAACATAAAGAAAACTTTACTGACTTATATTTTTATAATACACAGAAAAATACTGCAGAGACACCACATGAATTGAAAGAAATGTGGGATAGTTTTATTCAGTCCTCCTGCCTTACAAGACACATGGGACATGTATATTGGAGAGAAACGCTAGAATACATGGTATAGGAGAAGTCTTCATGCATGACCCCTTGCTTACTACATATAAGAACAGTCATTGGATTAAGCTGGTTTCTCCTGCTCACTTTACAAGTAATTTTATATATATGTATGTTATGCAGATTATCTGGGTAATTGAAAATTATTCATATATTTATGAAACAAATCTGCAGAATCTCCTTTTGGAAAAAAATTAACTAACTTAGATATCAGTATTTATTTTAAAGAAATAGGGAGACAGAAAGGTAAAAAATCCTTTTATAATGGATCCATTCTATCACAAATTTATCATTTTAATAGACACTTTAATAAACAAACATGATGGATCACTGCAGAATATCTAATGAAACAAAAATAATACTAATCACAAATAGTATAAAAGTAATACTTAGAAACAAGATAATATATAACAGCTACATAATATGAACAAACATTGTATTTAATTGCTAGAAATGGTAAATTTAAAATAAAATGGTACACTGTTAAATCTTCCTGAAGGAATTGGTTTTCAGAAATAATCTTGAAAAATTGGTCTTTTCAAAATAAGATGTGAGTCCTATAACCAATGATAGAAAACCTGTCAAAGGAGCTGGGGATTTAGCTCAGCGGCAAAGCGCCTGCCTGGCAAGTGCAAGGTCATGAGTTTGATTCCTAGTACTGGAAGAAAAACAAACAAACAAACAAAACCTGTCAAAAACATGGGAATTATAAAGATACTACAACAAAAGCAAAAGAAAACTTACTTAATTTCAAGTTGTTTTATCCTATTTTCTGCTCTCTTAAGTTTTAGCTCAAGATCATCTTTTGAACGCTCAGCAACCAGACATCTTCGGTGCATTTCTTCCAGTTTTCTGTAATCATTTTCGGTCCCTCTGCCTTCACGGTAAGTCTGTAGAAGAGGCTTATATGTATATAACCATACAGAAGGAAATTGCCTGAACATAGTATACAGGTGAGAAACTGAAACCAATGAGGAGAAATAACAAAACCATGATCATGTGTTCATCTGTTCCCATTGTAACATATTACAACACATCAATGATTACTTTTGGTTGTTTCACATTTACAAAATATAAAGCCAAAAAAATATGAATATATACAATAATTGAGATATAAAGAAAATCTTTCTCTAAAAGAAACTATTCATGCCTGTTGTAAATTATTCAAACAATAAAGAAGTGTAAAGCAGCTGAAGATAAAAAAATAATCTGAATGTCAACTTAGACATTACCACTGGTGGTTTTTGATGAGTATCCTTCAAGACAATTATCTAATATTGGAAAAGACAATCACATGCTGTGGTGAAATGAGTGGAATTATCTGAAAATGACCCTAGAATCTTACTCTGGGTCACCTGGACAATATTCCAGCTGGAATCGGAGCTTCCACTTCCCCAGCTGTAGCTGTATCCTGGGTTAACTTCCCTTGAGGCTGTACTTCCTCTCACGAAATGAGGGCTGAAACACTGCCTGGTCCAGTAACCCACGGCTTCCCATTGTCAAGACCATGCTGTCACTCTTGCTCTAGAGAAAGGGAGCGTATCAGCACTTCACCGCTCCATGCCTGCGATACAGAACTGCACGGCAGTCCCAGCAGTACTACGACCTTGGCATGCTTGTCTGTGGGACACTGTGAGAACATGGAGCGGTGCCATCTTTCTGCCATTGCCTTTAGCCTGAAAGGTTTTTCATTTCCCCAGTAAAGCTTATTCCTTAACCTATGCCAGGTAACATTAAAAATTCATCCCAAACCCTGATGGGTACAGCAGCTTGTCATCTAAACAGAACTTATTTAATAGAAACGCAGAAGGATCTGCTTTGCGGGAGAGTGACACCCTATAAGGTCCCACTTCGAACACATACATTTTTTTTTTTCTACAAGTAGAATTTTATACCATGTTCTGCTTTGTAATCATGGTTTTACTATCCAATGTTGGCATGATTTTTGATAACATGGATATTCCACATGATTTTTATGTTATGTACCTCATTTTTGAAAATCAAATTCTGATTCTATTATTTATTATTTTTTAAACATTGGGCAAGTTACTTAACCTCTCTATGAAAGTTTCTAATACAGCATCTAAAAGACAGATGCTGTACATGTCTGATTTTGATCTTCCTTTCTTTTCTCAAAGTACTTTAGAAAACTGGTATATTTATTGCTAAAAAATATGTAGGAAAGAAAGAAATTTTAAAGTACTATATAGATTTCTCCAAAGAGTTTTTTCAAATAACACTTGGATAAATATTTTTCCTAATTATTGTAGTTTTAAAAGGTAAATATCAGGGCAATGTTGTAATTTTCTGTTTATACGTACTTTTTGTATTTATAGATGGCCTCCTAAACCCTAGTAAGAATTGGTATAAAATTCAAAAAAGAAAAGACAGACAAAATTAAATTTACTACTGGGATGAAGTTTAAGCAAGAAATACAGCTACTTCACAAAACTTCTGCCTTTAAGTACAAAGTTCAAAGAATATGGCCAGATTGAGAAATGCCTGAAGGTAATGGCAGCATTTAAATGGAGGCTCTGAGTATATTCTAAGAAAATAAAAAGCACTCACCAGGAGAATACTTATAAATACAAAGTTTGCTAGTAGATAGTGTGATGAAAGCAGGTAGTAATGTTGAATATTTGTAGTTTTAGGTAGTTATATTTCCTTTTTCTTTTTACCTTTTCTAGTTCTTCTTCCACAGCTTTTTTTTCCCTAATGCATCGTTCGATTTGGCTTTGTTTTTCATCACAGTCCTGTAAATTCAAGTCATTAATAGCAGTAAATATATTTGGTAAAATCTTAAGGAAATTGATTTATTCATAATAGGATGACTAAAGTTATCTCATCAACAAAGTAGTCACCAAACAAAACCAAAACAAAACACAGCAAAACTCTATCTTCAAAGAGCAATTCCAGGGTATCAGAAATTACTTCCAGTTACGAAGTGCCAAGGGGCTCTAATTAAGCAGACTACTTAGGACACCCAGGTTGGATGAGTCAGGAAGAAAAAATAAATAAAGACACCATCTCATGTTATAGCTTTTCTTTTTATATGCTCTTACCAATTTTTTGAAAAGGCAATGTACAACTGGACAGTGGCACACTACCTATGGCTTACGAAATGCACAGGTACACAAGTTCTAAAAATGTTTTTGCTTCTGTTGTTTGATGTTATATATTGTTATTTTATCATCAGTATATTAATCATTTTATGTATTTTAATGTCTCCTCATACAATTGTTAATGGGAAATCACAAGTATCAAGAATTTATCATTATCCAAGCCGGGTGTAGTGGCACACGCCTGTAATCCCAGCACTCAGGAGGCTGACGCAGGAGGATCATTGCGAGTTCGAGACCAGCCTAGGCTACAAAGTAAGCCCAAGGCCAGTCAAAACTGCATAGCAAGACCCTGTCTCAAAAAGACCAAAAAAAAAAAAAAAAAAAAAAAAAAAAAAAGAATTTATCACTGTCCAGTGAGTTCAACACTTCAAAATCCATAATGGGAATCTCCACTAAATATTCCTGGCACTGCAAATTTGACCTTCCTAACACTTAATTGTCTTCTTTGTAAAAATGACCCAAATACTCAGATTTCTTAATTTCTGATAGCAGTACGACTGTTTTTCCAAAACAAGAAGATATTTGCCTTGTGATTATATTCCTCCTTCCTTCTTCTAACTCCTCCTAATATGGCTTGCAATATACAGTATCTATTGCTAACACAGTGGGGTCACACTTGTGGGTCTGACAAATACCATATAAAGAAAGCATGGTTAAGTATACTACATAACCCTCTCCATTGAATCTACCATATTACATGGACAAATGATGATGGCTGAAAGACTGGTTTACATGGGGTAGTGAAGGTGCAATAAGAAAGTTGCAATCTTTAAAGAATTATCATACTAATTCTCCTAAAAATGCACAATAATGAAGCAAAGATCAAAAGTTATTAACCTTTTTAGAAATACAGGTATTTGCTAATCACCACTGATATGCCTACTTTTGGGGGAGAGATGACAAAATGTGATAAGGGAATTTTTTTTGTCTCAGGAAATACTAAGAGCCAATGGTTTATAGACTATGATTTTCTATGTAATTGAAGCAGAAATCAAATAAAAAGACAGTCTAGGTCTGTGTAGTGCTTAGAAATGAAAAACTAGACTTTCAGAACATTCATGGATCTAGGAAAATATCATGGTAAATGTTTTATTTTACTTTTATATATTTGGGCATTTTATAGTTAATCTTCTTCCCTATTTGCTATAGATTAATAGCAATCTTCCACATGGCAGAATTAAAACCTTGAGTATTCTTGGAAGAAGCTATATTTGTCAGGAGAAATTAAAGGTTGTGAGGTGTGTGTGGGTCTACAAAGGGAGATATATAATTTGGAGTACACTGCCTCTAGTCCTTTCTTTTTTTATGGTTTATTTGGGAAAAAAGATGGAAAAGAGGATAGATAGCTACCACGAGCTGGTAGGGGGTATCAGAGCTGAAAGCTCCTCTAGTCTTTTCTTAACCTACTACAAATTCTGCACAGTAACCTAAAATACAAGTTGTTTTTATCCTTTTCTGCAAGCATAGCTTAATTTTGGGTTAGCCAAAGTATGTTTAACTCCCTCTCAGACTTAATCTTTGTGGAAATAATGGCACAGTTGCTATTTAATGACAGAAAACAGTAATGGATACCATTATTAAGCTTGAGACTCTAGGTCAGATTTTCTGAGAAAATTTGCTTTTTAAAGTAAATGAAAAATGTCTTCCTTCACATGTTTTCGAACATATTTGACATCTTGAACACTTCTCAATTAGACAGTACAATTTCCACATAGAATCATGACATCAGATAATGTTTCATATCTTTAGAAAAATCACTTAGCTATGAAATAAAATTGTTTTACTATAAATTGTAAGATACACTTTTAAAATAAACTGAATTTTTTCAAAATGAATTGACTACAAGTTGAGTGTAATACAGCTTTGGTTGTTAGACATCTAACAATTATTTTTTAAAAAGGCCTTCTAGGATGTAGCCAGTTCTTTTTCCTCTGGGAAAAGAGAACAAATGTTCATGCCCTTGTAGAGTTTACAGTCCATTTAATGATCTTAGACTGGGGTAAAGACACTATTATTTCTATTCTTTCACAAAGATGTGAGTCTTTTGATAATGAGCCCATGAAAGAGAATAGATAAAATAACAGGGTGATAGAAAAAAGAAGGAAAATTGCATAACAACAAAGAATTACACATGACTAATTAGCCACACTGCACCCTGGTAATTTTACACAATTCCTACATCATTAAAACAAATGTTATCAAACAAACAAACAAAAACTAACACTGATCCCAGTTCTATTATATTCAGGACCAATACACAATCACTATGTCTTATACTGTATACTATAGAGTTTGTAAAATGTCGAAAAGATATGATCCCTTTTTTAGAAGTATGTAAGTATCACTTGGTTGATAAGTATTAATTTAAAAATGTACTGCGCAAAACACTGTATTAGGTAATGGGAAGCTTGAAGGAAGATATCAATCCCTCTATTTTGTAATCTAATCTAAGAGATAAGATTTTCATGGAAAGAGCAGGAGTACAGGAGTGGGTGTACACTCAACAAATACTAATGCATAATATGTACATTACAAGATCTATTTCATTGCTGAATTTTGTCACTAATATAAAAAACAATGAAAGGATTCAGAAAAGATGAGTTCTTGAAGTTGCAAATATCTTTCCAGTTCTTAGAAATTCCTGTATTTCTATTGTCTTATGAGGAAAGTTACTAAATTTCATTTCATCAAATCTTCAGGATAAATTTATATTTTCTAATACAATCTCTAATTGCACAGGTACTCACTTCCTCTGCCATTCTGCCTACTTAGCCTTCAGTACAAATTGTTTTGGGGAAATGTTCCTGTCTTTTTAACTTCTCACTTCCCCTCCGTGAGCCCACAGTGTGCCTGTCTGTCCTCTCCCACTCCCTTGTCTATACCCAGTGTGGTAGGAACTGCACCCGGTGTCTCAACGGCATCCTGTGTGTTCTCTGTCAAAAAGAAGCAATTACCTAAAATGTCATGGATGCTAGCTTTCCTGGTAGAACATATACCATTAGACTGCAGAAAACATTTTTATCAGTGTTTTCATGTTTTTCCTAGCAACTAGCATAGGTCATAACTTAATAAATATACTTTGAATAAACAATGACTGATAACATATATCTTGTTTTTAAAAATTTAAGCAACATTTAAAAGAAAATATTCATATAGTGTTTTATTTTTTCTTCTTTTGTGGTGCTTACGATTGAACCCAGGACCTTGTGCACGCTAGGCAAGCATTCTACCACTAAGCTATATCTGCAGTCTTCAACATAGGCTTCTAACACACCATTTGAAGAGATGAAAGTGCTTCCATTAATTGAGAAATCTGTACTTGATGTTGCTTCTTGGTGTTTTCGATCTGTAAAAGAAGACATTATAAATTATTTAAGTCATGAATAATGATTAATATCTGATAAAAACAGCATGGTTTTTAAAAAACATTTGATAAAAATTTAGAATAAAAATCACATAATCATTTTATATAATAGTTACATAAAGTTATAACTTTAAGGGCATAAAAGATAAATAAGCACACAAGGTATCCAGTGCCCAAGGTTCTGTCATGAGATTAGAAAGACAGCAAAAGGAATACTTCCAATATATTCTTTTTTAATTAATATTTTACCATTATTAGAAATAAAATCCCAAAATTTAAAATTTTAATTCCTTTAAAATAATTAAAATAATTACCTAGCAGTATAAAATACATTTTTATGAAAAATAACTGGATTCTCCAAAACTGAAGAAGACTGGCATTATTTTATATTTTTGTGACTCTCCTTAATGTCTGGCTGAATAGGAGAAAGCTGTTTTCTCAGACCTGCTTCTGTACTCAGCCTGGGGTGTTTGTGCGTATCATGCACCTTTTGGCAAACAACGCTGTGCACTCATGGGAAGGCGAGAGTGAAAAAAGGAAAATATTACATAACTGTGAAAGTAGGTGTGACCTTGCAGAATCCCTGAACTACACTTTGAAAACTGTTGCCACAGAGAGAAGCAAGAGGGAAACTGACAGATAAGTTGAGAGCTTATAACAATAAAGTGTGTATTTTGGAATATTTTACACTAATAATGGCAAATTCAGCTGAATTAAACTACTGATACTTTTGAAAAGAGAACTCATGAAGCTGACTGTATACCATGTGTGAACTATATTCCATAGGAAATTTTCTAGGGTTAGTATCTGATGAAAAAAATAGAAACCCTCGTTGTTTGGAAGAAATGCATAGGACTATGACGTAGTTCACTGTGGTTAAGGTTCAGAGATTAACATCCTTCTGTCACCCTAAGCTCATTTTGTTTACATAAACATTTCTTTCTATAATTTTTATGAGTTGTGAGGATGTTTACCAACCAAACTGTAAGTACATTAATAAGAAATGAAATAGGAAAGGCCAACAGTGGTGCTAGTCATGATTCAAACTCAAAAATAAACAATGCTTTTAAAAATTTTACTTATTTGAGAACTGAGATACAAGCATTTTCATACTTAAAAAAACACTGCCATATTTTATAGCCAGAACAGAAATATGTGAAATTTTTTCATCGTATATTAATAATATATACATATCTGTATTTGTTGATTTATAAAATAATGCCTATTCTTTGAAATTTTACTCACTGTAGAAAGATCAAATATAAAGGTCTCATTATTCTGGTTAATTATTAACCAGAGTATTATTACATGACTCACGTTAGTGATTTAAATAGTCTTATAAATATGCACACAAGTATTTTAATTTAAAAGTTTTTAGACAGTATTTGGTCTTTACTTGGAACTTAAATCTGAATTTTAAGTATAATTAAAAACCCCTTACTTGTTTCCTGGTTCTTATGGTAGATTCTTGTATGAACTGAGAAACTGTTTCTTTCATTTTCTCTTTATCTGCTTCTCTTTGCTTCTTCTCAAGCAGAGCCTTCAGAAAATAATCATTTCATGTTATAGATCACATAATTATTAGTCAAGATAATATTAAAAAAGCTAGGTATCTTTTTTTAAGAGTTAACATACCACTCTAAATTTTTGGGACATCTGTAATGAAAGATACTTATTTTTCCTAACCACACCTACCAGTGTCTTAATTTCTTTTTTCCCCTCATACTGAAGATTCAACTTAGGGCCTCTTGTGTATTGGGCAAACACTCTGCTACTGAGCTGTATCCTTGGGCCAGAATTTTGAAGTCAGTCTTGCTAAATTACGCAGGCTGGGCTCAAACTTGTGTTTCTCTTGCCTCAGCTCCCCAAATAGCTAGGATTATAGATGGGCACCAATATACAGTACCCAGATTAAAAAAATAAATTCTTCTTCTTTGGCATTTATTTCAGCCAGCGTTACCATCAATCTTCTAATCTCTACAGATTTAGAACTATTTTTGAATTTTCCTTTTCTTTCAAGCCTCTATACAAACTAAGCCATCATATCTAGGTCTGATATTCTTAGGAAAATCTCTCGTGTTTGCTTTTTATAAATACACTATTTAATATCATTCAAATTACCTCACACTTTGATCATTGCAGACAGCACAGGTTTTGTCTCCATGATGTGTTAATAATGAACCACCCGAGACTCAGTTCTTGGTTTTCTTCTCTACCTTTTCTCCTCTACCTTCTCTACCTATAGCTATGTCCATCCTTGGGTAATCTAATCAAATATCCTGATTTTAAATATCATTTCAATGCTGACAATTTCCAAATTTACATCTCTAATCAAAACACCTGAGTTGGGAACTCTTGTAATTAGGTCAGACTGAATCTCTTTCTTTCTGTTCACAGTAAGTGGTCCTGTGTTCCGACCTGGGCATCTCCCAAAGACAATACACATTCTCGTCTCTGTTTTTTTGTTTTTTTGTTTTTTTTCTTTGTTTTCTTTTCTTCATGGTGGTGTTGAGGAGGCAGCACTCACAGAGAGCTCTGAGATACTCACTGAGGTCACTCAGTGTGCAAGTACAGGAGAGGACAGAGCCACCAGCCACTGGAATACAACTTGACTAGGACAACAGAGTTGAAATACACAAAAAGGAAAAGTTAGGATACGAAGTGAGTCTCCCTCTCAGTCTGGGTGCTGCTCCCAGCACAGGTCAGGGACAGTGCCATTCTGTAATGGGAAAGCTGGGGGAGGGTGGGGCTTGGCTGTACCTAGGCACTCAACTCACGTGCCACTGCCTGCAAAGCCACCCCAGTCACACAGTTCACCCTCTGGGACATGGTGCAGGGTACGTGACAATAGTTGCAAAGTGCTTCTCCAGCCCTGGGCTCTGCTCCCTGGCAAGTCCAGAGACCAGGCCATTCTGAGGACTGAGTCCAGGCTGTAAGAGATGAAAGACAGACTGGACGGAGATGGCTTGGACTTCTGCCTCCTCAGCACCAGCACAGAGGAAACAAGTACCAAGGAGAAACCCAGGGATCTGGGGCCACTGGCACACACAGGAACAGAGTAGAGAGAAACAGCCACGCTGAGAAAACCTCCTTCCTAACCCTGGATGCCACTGAAATCGCAGGGCTCAGCAAGCTGAGATAAGGGATTTCCAGGGATGGAGAGAGGACAGGTGGAGCGTCCCATGAGGCTGCGGCCGGCTGAGAACCCTCGGGTGAGACTCACTGGAGGGAGCAGAGTAAATGTCCAGCCACCGACCCTGGGAACGCTAGAGGCCCCCAAACACGGCGGGCTCACGACAGCGGCAGCAAAGGCTGCAGGGACACGCATCCCAATCAATACAACCGGACACCGCCCCTCCCCGGCTCGCCTTTACTTTTATGTTTTGCTCTGTTGCCTCTTATCAGTAATTTGTTTAGTATGACAAAGGCCAGTATTTTTATGTATGTATATTTAGGTGTATCTGTGAGTTACTGGTTTTCTGCTTTAACTTCACAACACCTTACCTTGTTTGTCATTATGTTCCCAAAAACTGCTCATTAGGAATGTCTAAATTTGTTTGTTTGATCAAGAACTTGGTATAGGCCTCTTTTCTTCTCTCTCATCTCCCATTTACATTCCTTTCCTCTCATTACTTCCATTTATATACCTGTTTCAGTCTCTCTACTCTTCTCTCTCTCTCTTTTGGTATTATTATTTTTAATTCTCTATCTCCTCCCTTGGATATCTCTTCCTCTTATTTACCTGCTTACTATTGAAACACTTTGAATATCATCAATGCTAAATTTGGTGTAGGCAAGTACACCATATTACTTGGTATGTCTTGTACTGAATTAGTGTAATGGTAAAGATCTTTCCCATCAAGTTCTTAGGTATCAAGTAGTCTATGGTTAGCTTCTCAACTGTTGAGACTATTGGGATTAGTTACTCTGTCTTCTCAAAGCAGTACTAGGGGATAAAGGCAGCATCCAGTGCAGACTGAGTGGAAACTCTCACAAAGATACACAGCCACCCAAAATATACTCGAAGAGAAAGCCTCTTACAAAAAAGAACTCCACACAACAGTGGAAGACACATTTCATCCAACTATTCTACAAACTTCTGTACATAAGCACAAATAAAATAAGAAAACAAGACAACAAAATGCCTCCCAAAATAAAAAACTCTTCAAATTTGATCCCACAGATACTGAGGAGGGTGAAATTCCAAAGAATTTTAAAACTGATAGTTACAATGATCAATGAGATCAAAGGAGAGACCAATTAGCAGCCGGAAGAATCAATTACTACAATGATCAATGAGATCAAAGAAGATACAAATGAGCAGCTGACTGAATCGCAGAAGACAGGATATGAAAGACCACTTCAGAAAAGAGAAGTTCTGCATAAAACTAAGCAGAAATCCACAAAACGAAAACCTCAGTAAGTCACATAAAACAAAACAAAACAAAACAAAACAAAACAGCTGAAAATTGAGGCAGTAGACTACATCAGACAGAAATAAGAAATCGGGAAATAAAATCGGGAATTGAAGACATGGAAGTAGTAAAACATTCAATCAGGATCAAGTTAAAAAGAATAAGCAACACTGAACAGACTTTGAGGAGTTGATGGATAAATCTAAAAGAAATAACTTCAAGCTCATTAGCTTACAAGACAGCATTAAAAAACAGAATAATGGCTTAAGAACTCTAGTCACTGAAATCACAGCAGAAAATTTCCCCAAACTACAGACTGAGCTGGATACACAGGTAAAGGAGGTATTGGGAACCTTAAATAGACACAATGAGAAAAAAACCTCCTTGTGATGCTATCCTAAGTGAAATGCCAGAAATTCAGAAAATGAAAACAATGTTAAAAACTGTTAGAAAAACCAAATCAGTTATAAGGGTAAACTCATCAAAATAACAGTAGATTTCCCAAAAGAAAATAGAGAAGCCAGGAAGATATGGGATAAAGTTTTTCAAGTCCTGAAAGAAGATAACTGCTTACACGGATTAGTATATTCTGCAAAGTTCTCTTTGAAAATCAAAGAAGAAATAAAGCTAGACCATGATAAATACAAATTGGAGAAAGTTAAGACCATCAAGCCACCACTGCAGATAACAGTTAAGTCAGTCTTAAACACAGACTAAGAAAAGAACAACTCTGAGACAAATGGGAAGAATAAGACTAATTGGCAGAGAAGATAAGTGAATAAACAAAGGAATCAAACACCAGAAAAACAACAAAATGACAGGAATTAGTAAACATCTTTAATGATAATAATGTAAATGGCCTTAATTCTCCAATTAAATGATCCAGATTGGCAGATCAGATAAAAAAAGACCCCTCCTTACACTGTCTAAGAGAAATACACCTCAATTGCTAAGACATATTCACAGACTGAAAGTGAAATTAGGGAGAATAATATTTTAAGCAGTTAGAACTGTAAAGAAAGCAAGAGTACCTATACTCATATCTGAGAAGGCAGACTTCAGACCAGAACTGGTCAGAAGAAACAAAGAAAGCTACTACATATTGGTAAAGGGATGAATTCACCAAAAACTCATAAATATATTGAACCAAACATTAGTCTACTCAGTTTCATAAAAATGCCAGACAGCCCCCAATAAAATTATAATGGGAGATGGCAACACCCCACTGTTAAAAATAGATAACAAGACAAAAAAAATCAACAAAGAAACATCAGAATTAAGCTACAGTATAGACCAGATAGACTTAACCAATATCCAGTGTTTCACTCACAGCAAAATATATTTTCTTTTTAGTAACCCATGGAACCTTTTCCAAAATAGACCAGATTTCAGGCCACAGACCAACTCTCAATAAAAACAAAAGAAGTGAAATAATCTCATGTATCCGATCAGATCACAATGGTATGAAACTAGAAACGGGAAGGGAGCCAAGATATGGAGGGAGAAGATGGGATGGGGAAACGAAAAGGACTGTGATGTGTTATGTACACGTACCAACTTCCCATAAGGAATGTAATCACTGTATACTGTAAACATGTACTAATAAAAATTAAAAACCGAAGAAATAAAAAACCCAAGAAACCACAGAAACTACACAAAACAAGGAGACTGAGTAACACAGTCCTAACTAGGCAATAGGTCACTGAAGAAATCAGGAGAGAAATTTGAAAATTCCTAGAGTTAAATGATACTGGAAACACTACATATCTGTGGGACACAATAAAAGCAGGTATAAGAGGGAAGTTCATAGCTGCTTATATTAGAAACACAGAGCAAGCCCAAACAAATAACCAAATGATACCTCTCGAGGTTTTAGAAGAGAAAGGCCAGACCCAAAACCAGCAGAAGAAAAGAAATAATAAAGATCAGACTGGAAATTAATAAAATTGAAATTAAAAGTATAATAAAAAAGCTCAATGCATCAAAGAGTTGGTTTTTGGAAAGATAAAAAAGATTGATAAGCCCTTAACCAAAGTTACCAAAAGAAAAACAAAAGACCCAAATTAATAAAATTAGAAATGAAAAAGCCAAAATTACAACAGATATCACTGAAATCCAGAGGATCACCAGAAATTATGTGTGTGTGTGTGTGTGTGTGTGTGTGTGTGTGTGTGTGTGTATTAACTCAGGGACTGACACTCACTTTATTTAAACAATAAACATTGAATGAATTTGAGAAGCAGCCAGAGCAGTGGAAGGCAGCTATTGTTCCTAAAGCAAAGGAAAAAAAGCTCAAGAAAAGCGGGGAGTGGGGCTAGGGCTGGGGCTGAGTGGTAGAGTGCTTACTTAGCAGGCCTCAGGCCCTAGGTTCACTCTCCAACACGGGGGAAAAATTAGTAAGAGGATGGTGTACATTTTTGTTGTACCCAAAGTTAACACCCAGAAGTTAAAGGAGGAAAGGTTTATGACGGTAGTTTCAGCCCATAAATGGCTGGCTCCAAGGCAGGTTAGCTTGGCAGAGAGGAAACAGTCCATGGCAAGGTAGGCAGGGAGCAGAGAGCCTGCCTTCTTCCTGTCCCCTTACATTCCATCAAGCTACAAGCCGATCAGAAATTATTTTCAAAACATATGTCAACAAATTAGAGAATTAGAAAAAATTGAAGAATCTGAAAAAAATGGATAATTTTCTAGACACACACCTAAGTTGAACCATGAAGATACACAAAATCCAAACAGACCAAGAGTGAGTGATGCTGCTGCAGCAGTAATCAAAACTATTAATACAAAAAGTCTAGGACCGGATGGATTTACAAGTGAAATCTACCAGAGTTTTAGAAAACTAACATGAATACTCCTCAACTATTCCACACAAGAGAAAGAGAAGGTATCCTCTAAAATTCCTTCTATAAAGCCAATATTAAACTGATATCAAAATCATGTGAGGACTCAAGGGGAAAACTTCAGACTAGTATCCTTGGGAACACAGGTACAAAAATCCTCAATAAGATCCTAACAGAAATGAGCATCACATCAAAAGGATCATACACCATGACAATGTTAGTTTTATCCAAGAGAGCCAAGGATGGTTCAACGCACATAAATTAATAAATGTAATATGCCACATGAATAGAATCACAGGTAAAAGTCACACGGTCTTCTCAAGAGATGGAGAAAAGCCTTTGAGAAAATCCAATATCCCCTCGTGATAAAATCCTACAGACACAAAAGGAACCACCAAATGATAAAAGCCAGGATGAAAAACCAAAAGCCTGTATCGCACTGAGGGGGGAAAAAATGAAGAATTCCCTCAAAGTCTGGAATAAGACAAGGAAGTTACTCTCATCACTCTTGTTCAATATAGTTTTTGAAACTTTAGCCAGAGAAATCAGGCAAGAGAAAGAACTAAAAGGAATACAAATAGTACAGGAAGAATTCAAATTATACCCATTTGCAGATGATATGATTCTTTACACATAGAAGACACAAAAAACTTTACCAGAAGTCTTTCATATCTGATAAACAAATTCAGCCAAGTGGCTGGATAAAAAGACCAATACACAAAAATCTATTGCATTATCGTCCACTAATTATGAACCCACCAAGAAAGAAATCAGGAAAACCACTCCCTTCACAATCATTTGAAAACAATAAAAATGTTTAGGAATCAACCTAACCATGGAAGTGAAAGACCTCTATAATAATAATTGCAGAATTCTGAAGAAACTGAAGATCACTTTAGAAAATGGAAAGACACCCCCTGTTCTTGCATTGGCCGAATATTGTTAAAATAGCCATACTATCGATAGCAATCTATAGATTCAGTGGATTCAAAAACATTCTTCACAGAACTAGAAAGAGTAATATTCAATTTTATTGGGAACCAGAAAAGACCCAGAGTAGCCAAAGCAATCCTGAACAAAAACAGCAATGTTGGAGACCTCACTGCAACCTGAACTAAGCTGCACTACAAAGCCACTGAAACAAAAACAACGTAGTATTAGGACAAAAAACAGGAATGCAGACCAATGGGACAGCATAGGACACAAAAACAAACTGAAATACCTACAGACAACTTATTTTTGACAATGGGCCAAAACTACGTGTTAAGAAAGAGTCCCTGTAACAAATGGTGCTGGGCCAGGTGCGGTGGCTCACGCCTGTAACCTCAGCACTAGGGAGGCTGAGGCAGGAGGATCGTTGTGAGTTTGAGGCCAGCCTGGGCTACAAAGTGAGCTCAAGGCCAGCCTGAACTGCATAGAGAGACACTGTCTCAAAAACACCCAAAAAACCAAACATACAAACAAACAAACAAAAAAAATGGTGCTGGGAAAACTACATGGGGAAATATGCAAAAAATTGAAACCATGTCTCACTCCCTACTAAAATCAAATCAAAATGGGTCTAAGACTTAGATATAAAACCAGAAACATTGAAACTGCTCAAAGATATCAGGAAATCACTTGAAGCCATAGGAACAAAGACATCCCGAACAGGTCTCTCAAAATATGGGACACAGTATTAAGAATCAACAAATTAAAAAGTTTTGGCATAGCAAAGAAAACAATAGAGTGAAGATACAACCCACTGATGGGAGTAAATTTTTGTTAGTTATTTTTCTAATAGAGGGCTACTGTAATATGTAGAATATATAAACACCTCGTTAACGCCCATAAAATAATGAACCCAATTAAAATGTAAGCAAACAGACTATGCTAGATTGTACTTCCTGCTTGTGTGATTGGTTAAGAGAATCTGTGAACAAGTAAGTGAAGATGGAACCTTCTAGCAATTAATATGACATGATTCAGCTTAAGAGTGTAGCCATAGGGTCTGCTCACTCAGAACTTTAGAGGGGAGATCCAGGGGACAGATAATGCGTGTCCCTACTACCACCTCTGTCTATTGTACCCTATCCAAGATCTTTATTTTAGCGACCTGATGTTAAGAATGCCTACACAACGAGGCTCCAGATGGCAGATAAACAATTTTGTTCTTTCCTTATTTTTTCTAGTTAATTTAAGTGTTTAGAATAATTCCCAAGCATATTAAGTCTGTTGTGTATATGCTTGTATCTTTTGGGGTGCTGGGAATCAAATGTAGGGCTTTATGTATCTCAGGAAGGCATTCTCCACTGACAAACCAATAGCCAACATCATACTAAATGGTCAAAAACTAAAGCTTTCCCTCTAAAATCAGGAAGAAGACATGAGTGTCCACTATCACCACCACTTCTATTCAAATAGTTCTGGAAACATTAGCTACAGCAATTAGGTATGAGACAGAGAAAGAAGGAATAAGGATATGAAAGGAACAAGTTAAATTATTATTATCTGCCAATGAAATAAAGATGCCAATATAGTCAATACTCAAAAACCAATAGCATTCCTGTACATAAGCATTTTACTTTCTCAGTCTGGCTAATTTCACCTATATCTATTTTCTTGCAAATAGCATGATTTTGGTTTCCTTTATGGCTGAGTGATATTCTCCTGTGTATATATAGCACATTTTCTTTATCCATTCATCAGTTGATGGCATTTTAGGCTGGTCCTACAGCATTATAAGTGACTTGGTAATTGTTCTTTATAGTTTTTAATATTCTTTTGTTGTGAAATTTTGGCAATTTGATTATCTGCTTTGTACATGGTCTTTTCTGGTCTCGTGTGTGTGTGTGTGTGTGTGTGTGTGTGTGTGTGTGTGTGTGTGTGTCCCTATGCCTGTCAATGTGCACTCTATCTGGAGGCTTAACTAGCAGGTCCGGGACTTTCTAGAGCCTGAAATCAGAGTCAGTTCTCTTGTAACCAGGCAGCTGGGGCTTTTCCCTCCCTCCTGTGCACTGTCCGTCACTACGCTGTGCCCAAGCTGCCTCTTAGGGAAGGCGCCTTCTGCATCCCCAGGGAGAAGCGGCTGCTGTGTCTTGGTGACATAAAATATGTGGCAGTTTCTGTTCTTCCATGCAGACTACCCAGGAGCTCAGGCTTCTGAAGATGTCACCCCGGTCTGGCATTAACTCCATCTCCTGCGGAGTCTACCAAGACAAAGGGGGTTTGAGATGGCTCTGTGTCCTGGCTGGGTCTATAGCCACAGGGAATTGCTGAGAATTACCTTACCTGCACTTAGTCGCTATTTGGCTGTGCATCTGTCCAGGAGCATTCTTAAGAGTTATACTAAGATTGTCCCTCTTAGCCCTGCCTGGGAGGGACACCCCACCTGCACTAAGTTGCCATGTTAGGCAGGTGTGTCCTTTTGTTATCCTACTTATTTTTCTACATATGAGGATTTCTGAGTTTGACTTGGTTGCCAGCTTGCTCAGTTGTTCCAGTGATTTGCTATGGTACCTGTGTCCTCATGCAGCGTACACTTATTGAGTAGGATGAATATTCCAGAGCAACTTGTGAGTGTTGCTGCCTTCAGTCTGCCATGATCTGGAAGTCCCTCAGTTAATAAACCTTTAGAGGCAAATTTTACTCTGTCAGTTTAGGTTCTGCTCTATTACTGTAACTCTGTAGATGATGAAGAAACAAAAATGAATAACAGTCACCTGATTCAATTTGACTGAAAGCATACACAGTGGTAAAGTACTGTGACAGATTTTTTAAGAAGTATGAGACTATAAGGGATAATGATCAGTTACACAGGAGTTAGGAACGTAAGAAAAGTCTGATAATAAAATACTAACTTTGGAAGAGGATTGACATTTTATCACATTTTATGATACTAAGTCTTACCATCCAAAATATAGCATGTCTACTTAATGCAGTGCATAGAAAGTTTATTTTCATGCATTTACTCTGGAACTGTTGATGCCCTTACAATTAGGTCATATGGGAAAATGTACAGCAGTTTATTATTTATAAACATATTTATTGTCTTTCTTACCTGACTTTTTTGAAGGTTAGCGTCTTCTAAGAGTTGCATGCTATCTCTGGCTCTTAAAATGGCCTCATATTTTTCATTTTCTAATTCATTGCACTTTGCTGTTAGGTCCCTGGTCTGCTTTTCCAGATGTGTTTTTTCTGATCTTAACTGGTCAGCTTCTTGGATTGTCACACATAATCTAGAAATTAATAATTATATTGTGAAAGTTAAACATTTTCTAAAGGGAAGGAGGGAGATAAGAGATTTGTTGAGGATCTATTACAGAACAGACGTTAGTACCAGTAACTTTGACATGTATTTTCTCATTTGGTCCTCACTACAGTTTGCAAAGTTGGTTTTCTTATCTGTATTTTAAAGAACAAACACACCCAGAAAAGTTTCAGATTTAATTAAGGTCATGGGTATACAGTAATAGGGTTGAGACTGAGCCTACGTATCTGACTCTAATTAAAGTAACATTATCTAATATAGTCATATGACAATATTATAGTCTCTATAACCTTAAAGATTGAGTTGTTCCTCCTACTTATATGGTCTTTTTTTTTTTTTTATTGCCTGGCTACCCTTTTTCTCCTACCCAGGAATGCCATGTGACTTACTAATAGACATGTTTGAATATTTTCCTCCAGGCTCACAGAATCACACACACATATACACTGATACTGATACACACACAGCATAAACACATTGATTCATAGGTTTCTGAACACAGTTTTATCTTCTAAAAATTAAAATCATGGTACATACTCTTTTCTCACTCAGTATCTTACAAAATTCCATCAAGCAATACATCCAAAAGCTCCTCTTTTCCTAGTCTGATGGATACAACCTCACTCCACTGTTCGTTTGTATTTTCCTGACTATGTGCTGGGGAGCTTACAATGGTAAGCTATGTGGCTTTTCCTCTCTGAATTTCCACTTCATCTTCTTGGTCACTGTTTCTCTGAGGAGCTGTTTACTTGTCTCTTTGTAAGAACTCTGAGTGCTACGGCTGCTAGCCCTCGTTTTGTCCTTTACATTACAAATATTCTTTTTACAACCTTACTTTTTGTTGTTCTTGTTGTCTATTGCTTTTTAGGACATCTTTACCATACTAAAAATCCAATACAGATAAATTTGATAATTTTAATTTGTGGGATTTTAATTTTTATAAAGATGATTGTCCTCAAAAATATGTGTTACCAAGAAACTTCCTTTGCATTATAGTCCTTTGTCATAGTATGTGACTTCAAAACTATGTATCTTTCCTTGACAAAAATAAAATTAAAAATGAATAAAGTCAGTTCATAGCTTTTTTAACATATACATAAAAACTGCCCTAAGCTGGGTGCAGTGGTGCACACCTATAATCCTAGCACTATGGGAGGCTGAGGCAGGAAGACCACTGTGAGTTTGAGGGCAGATTGGGCTACACAGTGAGTTCAAACTAGCCTGAACTACATAGCAAGTTTGTTTGTCTAAACAAACAACAACAACAAAAACTTCCCTATGTAGAACTGATAAAAAAATTAATGTAATTTCATTTGGTCAATAGAAATACTTTTAGAAACTCAGAAATTAATTTGAAAACATTGAACAATAATCATTTTGTAACAAATGATAGACATAGTCACAGAAATGATTTAAGGTCTATTCTTTGTAATATTTTATTATGCCCTCCTCCTACCTTGTTTTATTTCATTAAGCCCATTTGGACTGGAAAAACATACTTTTAACTGCAGGAATAATTATAATTTATTAGTTGTATAAGTACATTTCTTTCAAATACCAATAAATTTTATTAAATTATAATGCTTTCAAAAGACAAAAAACATCAACAGAATTTTGCATTTCTAGGAGTCTGTCCTTAGTCTGAAAGAAGGGGAAGATTTGAGACAATAAACTAGTAAACTTGATGTGAGGCCCTTTATACATTATCTTACTTAATCTTAAAAAAAAAAAAAAACCATAGCTAAGTAAGTTAACTCTTCCAAGACAGAAAGATAGTATGGACTGGAATGAAGAGTCAAAACTATTTTGTCTGTGGTTAATCTCAAAATCACTGTACTCCAGCAATTTATATTCCTGTCTATAGACATCCTCATTTTTAAAAGTCATGAAATTAATATTCATTAAGTATTAGTTTTATCATATAGCCCCAGCTAAAGAAGTTAGAATAAAACTCATGAAATTAAAAAAAGGAACTCATGAAACTAAAAATCAACTTTATCTTATTTCCAAGATCCTCTACATTTTATCCAACCATATTTTGTCAGGAACTTTTGAATCCAGGCTTCTATTCTATTTATAATCAGACCCATATTTTAGTATCTTTGCTTTAAAATTTCATATATTTTATTTTGCTTAGGAGTAGAGATAGGAAACAAAATGCAAACAATGGTTAAAATGAAAAACTTTTCACTGGTCACCTAAATGAAGATTTCTTCCTTGTATCTGTATATTATTGTTTTACAATAACTACAAAAATAGAGAAGGCAGGTTAAAGCAATTTTCATTTACCTCCTGTCTTACTTAACAAGTATTTATAAACCAGCAGCTTCTCCTGCTATTCTGTGGGTCCCTTAATCATCTAAAAGCAGGAATGGGTTGGGGATCTTTCTTTAGAAAAGGGACAGAAATCACTTATGCTCTTCAAACATTTATGGCATTTGGAAAGATCACAAAAAATAATTAAAAAACCCAATAATAAGTATTTATTGATACACAGCCTGTGGAACAAAGATGATCATTAAAAGTGAGTTTCTAATCTTGCAATTTATTAAATGGGGTACAGTCACATTTGAAACATATGGACTGTTATTTAGAATCATATAGAAAGTATTTAGTGGAAGGTTTTCAAAACATTAAAATATGTAAGTGTTCCTTATCATAATATTGAGCAACAATTTCAGCAGGGTGTGGCAGTGCACACTTGTAACCCTAGCATGTAGGAGGCTAAGGCAGGAGGATTACCATGAGTTTGAGGCCAGTCTAAACTACATAGTGAGCTCAAGGTCAGCTTGAACTACATAGCCAGATCCTCTCTCAAAAAATTAAAAAGCCCCTACAAATACCCATTTTAAAAAAAAAAATATTTGTAGTGATCTTGTAGGGAGCTGTTCAATTATGTTCATGTTACGTTACAGCTTTACACTAAAAACAATAACAATAACAACACAACTCTGAACCTTCACCACTACAAAGATAAATCATTTTTGAATAAATAAACATGATTCTTTGTTGGAATTAAAAGGAAATGAAATTCATGCTCAGATATTACTGATTTCAGTCATTAGCATAACATAGCACAAAATACTACTAGAAGTGCAAAAATAAAAATCTACAACCAGTATCTTCTTCTGAGGTTAACTCCAAGATGGTCAAGAAAGCAATTAAACAATCAACTGCAGAAAAGTTAAAAAAAAAGCTGAAAACTCCCAAATCCCAAACCCTTTCATTAGTCCCAAATAAATAGCTAAAATCAATTAGCTCTCAACCTGCTATGAACAAACTAATTACATTTATTACCATTTTGGAAAAAAAAGAAAAAAGAAGTTCAAAGACTGATGTTTTTCTGGACATACAACAAATTAGCCATGATGGATCCTTAACTAGAACTGATATACTCAGATCAGTAAAAATATTTCAGTATATAAATCATAATGTGAATTCACAGGCTGTGACCATTTTATCTCTAAAGAATTACTAATAACGATTTTCTCAGGAAGCAGTCAGGAACAGCAAATAACAATAAAAACAACAAAATAGCAATTTTAGATAAAGCTATAGAATGTATTTAAAAAGTAGTCCAGACCTTCAAATATAACAAAAAATCATTGTATTCCTTCAGAAAACTTCAGGGAAAGCCTCTACAATGATTTCCTAAGTATTTTTTTTCTCTTGTGTATTTATTCAGTAACAAGAAAACATACATAATTTTTTACCCAGCTTCACTACTTGTCCCTACCCCCCATTCTCACTTCAAAATGAAAAGTACATTTTGATTTTGAGATTGACTAAAATTGACTATGACTGCTTTGGGTGAAAATAATAATAAATACTATTTAAATTAGTAAACAATAACTTCCTTAGAATTGAAAAAAACTTTTCTTTGTTTAATACATGCCTTGTATTCTGTATTTTATGATTTATTCCTTGGGGGATAACTGGTTCAAAAACCCTGTTCCCCTCTTGCCAGTAAAGCGGTTTATTTTCTCATGCATTGGATAATTTTTGAGTAAGCTCATGTCTGCCAGAATTTATGTGTAGACTTCTGAGAAGCCTAAGTTAAAAATATTTACCCCTAAAAGAAATTTATTTCTGCTGCTTCTGTGTGCCATGACTTACTACCAGCCTCCTGCCATGGTAGTTTCTGGCTTCAGGATCCCACGTGAACAGCCTGTACAAGTCTGAACCCCAAGCGTGCTTGAGGGGAGGACTATGATTAGCCATTCTCAGAGAAGACCACAATGGTTATCACAGTCTTTTTTTTCCTTCTAATATTTGGCAAAATGGGAAACAGTTTTCCATGTTGGCTATATTTGCTAAGAGGTAAATATTTTTTCCTATTTTAGCCTTTCAATAAAGGTTGTAATTCCTACAAGGGTTCCAGTTAAGGCAGGTTGGAGATTTAGCTAGCTGCCCCATTATGTAGCCCTAGCCCTGGCTTTTTTATTTATCACTCTGATTTTAGCTCCTTGGTTAGTCTGTTTGTTTATCTATACCCTTGGGGATATACATCTTACATTTAAATGCTCAATTTATAACACAGATGTTTGTTTTAATTTACCATAAATAGGTTAACATCAAGGGGTTTTTTCCCAGAATATTTAGTCTGCTATTATGTGACTGAAATAGTCTGTCCAATCATAATGAATCCTTACTTTGTTCCCTTCCATTTGTAACCTGTGGAACTAAGTTGTCGGTCCACCTGAACATCTACTTCACAACTTGAAAACAGGTGCCAGTGGGATATTACACCTACTACATGCGCCTTTTGTCTTCCTTTGCACAGATGATACTGGACTTACTTGATCTCTGTGCTCTTAGGAAAAAAAAGACGACCTAGAAATTTCCCCACCCTGGTTTTCCAAAACTGTCTATCTTGTATTCCAGAAAAGTGCTAACAGCAAAGGATAACCCTGCTTTACATATCTCAAGTAAGGCCCACCACCAATATTTGTCATGATTTCCATAACACTCACGTATGTCTCAATTTTCTGTTTGCCTATACAAAACCTTATGCCCCTTTCTCTAATTTTTTAAACATTCCTCATTAGTATTTTCTATACTGCAGTATCTTCAATAAATGATCTCCTAAACTTATGTGGCGCATCTAGTCTTTCGTTGTACTAAAGAGTACTTAAATTATTCAACCAAACCTTGAAAGGAAAGAAAACATTAAAATTCTACTTTTCATTCACTGTCACATTATTCCCTTTCAACCTTTCACCACCCCCCATATACTCTATGGCAATCTATCTTTTAAAATGTCTATAGTCTAGGAAGTAAATATTTCCTGAAGAAAGAACAAAAGAAATGATTTTCATGCTAAGTATATAAAGATAGATAAATCTGTACATATTCTTTAGGAAATAAGGTGAAATCTCAAAAATACATTCAGGTTGATAGTGGTAGCCAAATAACACCCAACTGTACTATCAAGTAACCCCTTTAAGAGGCACATGCCTGTAATCCCTGCACTTGGGAGACTGAGGCAGAGGGATCACTGTGAGTTAGAGGCCAGCCTGAGTTACATAGTGAGTTCAAAGTGAGACCCTGCCTCAAAAAAAAAAAAAAAAAAAAAAAAAAAAGAGTTTAAGCATGAAAACGATTGGGGCAAGTCAGAAGAAGTGGAATTGACTGTACAAGTCAGTGATATCTATTAATAAGAACATTCTAAGTATTTATTTATCTTTGAACACCCCTATTTTAACTATAGCATCCACTGGCCAATTTTCCCTACCAGTAATGATTAAAGCAGCATGATAAACTTTTAACAACATGTGTGATTTGAACATTTTTTGCATTATTTAAACTAACTAAATATAATTTAAGGATTTCTCCCTGTCATCTACAGACACAAAGATCAGTTGTGACTAGATGCCAGCCGCTGCTGGAGCCTAGAAGCTCTCACACTGTACTTAGCAGTACTCAAAACGTGCTGAGTAACTGACGTTTCATCTGTGAGTATGGAAGTCGCCCTCAAGAGGGAATGTTAAAGATTTTTCACATAATGCACAGACCCTCATATTTAGCTACACTGGGATATATTTCAATCTTCTGGGACCTTTTTCTGTTACTCCTGTTCCATAAGCACAGTGTAGCAGTGGCTGCTCCTTTGAGACATGCCCTTTGCAGAATTATTTCCCTCCCTTTGTTCTTCTCAAGGATATTTCCCATCCCCTTGCCTGGTATTCCACATTTTAAACAGAAGCCACATCTGAATGATTAAGACATTAACTGCTATCAACCTTTCTTTATATTTACAGAGCTCAGACATCTGGTGACTTTCAGATTACATCAGAATATGTAATGTCCTTCCTTATTCTTTAGTTCTGTACATCAGTTAACACAAAGCATGTAGACTGCTGTGAGGTTTAACCTGCCCAAAAGTAGCATGTTTGCAACTAACCCAGGAGGTCAAGGTCAACTGCAATGTTCCGGCCAAAGAACAGAAAGAACAACGAGGAGACACATGGTGTAGGTGAGAAAGATCCCACTCAGCAGATTTATTTCCTGCGCACTGTTCCCTCTCCGCCTTTCTCATCGTGTAAATTCCCTCTGCTGTTTCTGAGTTCCCCAAGACGGGACTCTGACGCAACAGCCTCCCTCTCCATCTTCCCAAGATGCCCTCAGATGAAACTGCTTTCCTTCTCACCGACACTTGTCTCCTGAGTATTAGCTTTTGAGTGGAGAGCAGCTGGACTTGGGCCTGGTAACAAGTTGAACATGAATTTCAAGTATGCTGAGCATATGCCTCCTACATCCTGTTCAAAACAAAACTGGCCAGAACTAACATAAGAAAAATTCTTATATAATTTTAAAGTAAAAATTATACAAATATACCTAAAAATTATTATAATTCACCATTTCATTTTTCTCCTCAAATTGAATTAGTGTTGATTCCTTCAGGGGTTATACCTATTTTCTCCTGCCAATTTAAATATTCTAAATCTTATACAATAAATTCTTAGCATGAAAGAGGCAAGTGAAAATGGGAGGGAGGGATACACTATTGTCAGTTTTATTATAACTACTGTGTCAACTGGTGCGATTTTATTAAGCAGAGATATTACTCATTTTATAGCAAAGTTACCAAAGCACTTGAAAACTATTTTTCATATTTCATGTTACCATGGAGAATATAAAGGAATATTATGACTAAAATTTTAAATATCAAAAATATTGCTATATTCTCTCACTCTTTAAAAATATTTTCAGTCCTATGATTTAAGAATCCAATTGTTAAAGTAGCAATTTGAGAAGATAACAAATTTTTTGCTTGTACTTGTAGATATCACCCCCAAATATTCAACTGATATTTAAAACAAGGCAACTTTTTCATATGCAAAAAATTACTTCCTATCTTTCAAAAAAGACAACTAGATAGTCTAAAAACATATTCGCCTTACACAAACAGACGTTCATAACCTAATTTGAAGTCATGTTGCTTAGCACGTACAAAGAAAAACGATTAAGAAGAAAACATCGAGGGGAGCATTCTGAAAGACCCATGGTCGATTCTCAATGCCCTGCAACTATGACAGCAATGGCATTTCAGATGTGTGGAGACATTTTGGTGGTTACGATGGTAGGGAGCACAACTAGAATTTAGTGTTTGGTGTTAAGGGGGCTAAATATTCTACAATTATTGGCATGTAATTTCAAATAACAGTTGTCAAACACAATAGGTCAGTTAATACAGTGCTTTTGAAAAATATAATATGGCATCAACTGATGGTGGCTAGAAGGCAGAGATCAGTGACGGGAAAAAGAATGAGAAAGACCACTGGCTATTGCAATTTCTAAGAACAAAAGAATAGTATTGGGGAGCAGCTTGACTTCTAGGGTACCAACTGGATTGAGGAACAAGCTTCAGTTTGCAGGGCTTTCCTGACACATTGAGCCCAAAATGCAAAAAGAATCTACAACATTCGGCTCCTGCAGCCAATCCCTTCAGGGTTTATGGCCCATGATTCCTAAAAAATAGTTTCAAAAACTGACATTCTTTTACTTTCATTGCCTTCTATTTCAATGGTTTCTTTCTTCTGTCATAGAATTATTAATAAAAATATAGAGTTTTGGAGGGCTTAAGGCAATATCAATTTTTTCCTGATAATACAGTTTAAAATTTTTAACTGCTCTTCAGAAGAAAGGATTTTAGATTCCTAAAGATCAATTTAATTCACTACCAAATCCGTTCACTCAAAAGGAATGCAAATGAAGGGATGCTTTAGTATTAAAACAAAAACTATGGCTTCGAAGTTTTACTTCATTTCAAAAAATTATTGAACTAAATTTGGCACAACCGTTCTCTTTCAAATTTATGACATAAGTTAAGGTACACTGTAAAGTGTCTGACTCATTAAACAAATAATTTTTTGAAATGTGTTCAAAGTATGAGACAATCTGTTGAATATAATTTTTAAAATAAGTACAGAAATCAGATTACATCTATGATTATAGTTGATTTAGCCCAATAAAATATATATTCTAATAAATATCATAAATTAAAACTCAAGTGTAGCATATATTTTGAAGAACACAGACAAAGGTAGTTGTATTTACCAATTTACCTTGTTTCTAATTGTTTTATTTTAGATTGTAATTGCTGTAAGCGCCTGTCTGATGCTTCCTCTCTTCCTTGGGCAGACACCATATCCTCCTCCTAGAAAATAAGGAAACTGGAAGCTTACCTCAAGTATTTAAAAATTATTACAACAACTTCTACCATAAAGAAAATAATTAATACTACAAAGTTATTGTGCTGCTAGAATTTTAATATGTTAATTTTTTAAAGCAATATAATAAAAAACAGAACTTCACCATTAATAGCATAGTAAATAATCAAAACATTTATTGCATATAGATTTGCACCAGTTTTTCAAACAGTTCCCATAGTGTAAGTCTAATAAGACAGAGGTGTCTGTGTAGACAATCTGCTTTTAAGATATGTTCTATTAATTGTGTTACAAAATTTCTCACTGTCTATCAAAATAACCCTTGGAATATAACCTTTGATATAGTGAAGATTTGAAATATATGAATAGATGTATATTTGCATCATCTTCCTAGAAAAAAATTCTCTGTTCTTTCCTGCCTGCTTTCATTAAATATTTTCATGATGTCATTTTAATTTCTCTATTGTTCTTAACTTTATTTCTTTGAATTATTTTGTTGCTATAAAGATTACAATATGCTTTTTAAATTCCTATTTATTTAGATTAATATAAAATTAATTCAGATAATGCACTGAAACCTAGAAATATTTCTATGTATGTCAGTGCCATTGTCATCCTATATCTGTATACTTCAAAAATTTGTCATTAAATAGTGTTAATTTTGCTGTGAGTAGTCATGTCTTTTAAAGAGAGTAAGTGATAACATGCACATTATGATTTCTTATCATTTGTTGCTCTACAGTTGCCATCTAGTACCATTTCTTTTCTAGTTCCTAAAATTGTCCTTTAGAATTTTTTTAAAATTCAGGCCTGCTGGGGACAAATTCTGTTTTTGTTTATGTAACAATGTCTTTTTTTTAACCTCAATTTTGGGAACTTAGTTTTCCTGGAGATAGTATTCTCAGCTTTTTTTTTTGTTTGTTTGTTTTCCTTTAGCATTTGGGATACAGTACAAAAAATGGTACCAGAAAAAAATGGCATCACTGCTGTCACTATACCTAACCATGTGATTTAGAATTTTTTGGAAATAGTTCATGGGAAGACTTTGGAAAGGTTTGGATATGCTGGCTAGAGAAGCCCTAGAAAAATATAAGCCAAGCTTGATGGGAGATAGTTGTTGGAGCACAGAAGACCAGAATGCAGATAGAAATGAAGACAATAAAGGCCAGGCTCCGAAGGTTTTGGCTGGGAACAAGGACTCCAGTAGGAGTTGAACTGGAGGCTATATGTATTACACTAAGGCAGAAATATCTCTCTATATTTTGCCCATTTCCTGAGACTTTGTGGTCTACTGAGATTACAGCCTAATTAATGTGGTAGAGGAAATTTCAAAGCAGCCCAATAGGCTGTGGCATGGGTACTGCTGGCTGCTTTTAGCCAATCAGCAGTGAAAATATGAAGCACATATTAGAGTCAAAAATTGTGAGAAAAAAAAGATCCTTCAAAGTTGGGGCCACAGAGAGCTTGGTTGCTGAAAAGATTAGAATTAAAAAGAAGCCAAGTACTTTGCATCAGAACAATAGGAAAGATGGCTTGAAGGTATCTCAGGCATCAGTAGACTGCTGTGAGGTTTAACCTGCCCAAAAGTAGCATGTTTGCAACTAACCCAGGAGGTCAAGGTCAACTGCAATGTTCCGGCCAAAGAAAAGAAAGAACAACGAGGAGACACATGGTGTAGGTGAGAAAGATCCCACTCAGCAGATTTAGTGAAGTAACTGATTTGGCTAGTTAGGCTCTTTTGTGCTTCCATATGAACTTGAGGATTGTTTTTGAGTTCTGTGAAAAATGTCATAGATATTTTGATGGGGTACATCCATAGTTTGTTGAAGAGAACTCAGCCATTAATTTTATTGTTTCCCTGTTCAGACCATTTTTCTATTGCTGGTTTCAATTTTTTCCTTTAAAATTCGTTGTCAGTGGTATCACATTGTGTTTAGAAGTGATTTTTTGGTGTGTGTTTATCCTACTTGGGGCTCACTGAGACTCTTGGATTTGTTAATGTTTTCCACCAAATTTGTGATGTTTCTAGCCAGTATTTCTCCCCACTCCTTCCTTTTCCCTTCCTTTGGCAACTCCAATTATACTATGTTGGACTGGTATAGTCCCACAGTGGCAATTAAGGTGGAGTTTCAAATTGATTGGCTTTGGTACCCCCACCCCCAAGGATTGGTGAAGTACACTTCTGGGTGTGTCTGGGTGAGTCAATGGAGGCACAGCATGGGATCTATGCCTGTTCTCTTACCCTTTTCTCTCTGGTGTTGTTTCTCTGCTCAACTCTCTGCTGACTATGAACTAAGCATCTTTGCTCTGCCAGGCTCTTCTGCCTTGATGTCCCTGCCTTGTAGCCAGCTGACTATGGATTGAATCTGCCAGACCATGAGATAATTTAAACCTTTCCTATTTTAAGTTGGATCAGGTTGCGTCCAACAACAGGAAGCCTAATACATTCACAGATCTCCTCAACATTTTAAACTCTGTTTTTTGTAAGAAAATTTCAGTCCAATTAGATTTTTAAAAATTCCTTGAACATATTTATAATAGCTGGCTTAAAGCCTGTTCTTTCTAACTTCAACAGCAGGGCCCACTGAGAGTTTCTACTGACAGCTTCTCCTTTGTCCCACTAATCCTTGCCTCACATGTGTAGACCATACTTTCATGTCTAGTAAGTTCTGGTTGAAAGCTGAACTTTTTAGATAATACGGTAGTTACTCTGAATTTTGATTTGTTCTTTTGAAGATTATGTTTTTTAAAAATTGTTGTTCAAGTAGGCAATTATCTTGCTTGGACCTGTACTCAGAAATCTGTTCCTCCTATAATATGCAGCAGCTAGGTCCCCAGGGAATGCCTCTGTGCCTGCATAATTTGAAAATCAGTCCATACTTAGGAAGAAGTAGGGTTCACTCTCTTTGTGGCTTTCTTGCTGCTACAGAATCCCTTCTAATTTCTGGTGTGGGTTCTGACTCTGACGCTTCAAATAATAAATCTTCACTTTCCTGTTGTTCAACTTGTATATACATCTAGAATGTACTCAGTCATAAAATATAGCAAACTCAAATATCCAGTTCCAAATACACCTATATCTTTCCACAGTAAGTTTTCTCAGATTTCTGCCTGATTCTTTATTGAGCTCCATGGGGTTGTTCCACACCCAGTGTGGATTATTTGGCTGTTAGGTACAGATCTAGTAAGATTTTATATTTAGAAGTTGGGTCTCATTTTTTATGTGGTTCTCTTATTGCCAGTATTTTTTCATTAAATTTCCTAGACTTACACTCTGATCATGAGTAACTTATGCTGATTTAAAGCTGTTGTTTTCTGAAGACAGAGCCATGAGTATTGGAAGAATAATCAGGTCAGTTTTTACCTAACAATACTTATCTCTTTCTTTTCTGTTTTGAATGTTTCCAGTGTATAAAAAATTATACAATTTTTATAATTGTTTTCTATGGGAGGGTTATTGTAATCTCTTCACAAATTTTTCACTACTGGAGATCCACACTTAATTTTTTAGAGATCAGGAAATAAGGATTAAAAAGTTACAGAGCTAATAAATGTTTTGAGATGATTGTGCTTTATTGAATTAGGTTAAAGTAGATGGAAATAGAAGATTCCGTTTCTAATATTATAATTTAAATTACTACTTTCATGCTTTATATTTAAGGATCAATAAAATATTATCTTCTAACAACCTTCAACACCTACACCAAAATAAACATAGAAAATCAAGCTACAAACATCCCATTGTTTTAGAAATAGAAAGTACCTTCTTTTCCATTTGTTCCTGAAGACCTTCGGTCACTTTTGTTAACTCTTCTACTTTTGCTACTGCAACTCTCAGATCTAACTTGGCTTGTCTGAAGAAAGAAAGTAAATTAATGAACACTGTTCTCAAAAGCCGTGAAAAAGAAAAAATTAGAAATTCAAATTTGGTAAATCATTACTCATATGTACCTAAAATTGGTTCTAAAATTCTGAAATATTTATTACTAACAAAAGGTATGTTAAAGAAGAAAAAATAAAGCCAATAATATTTAATATTAACATTTAACCGATAAACTATTTTAAGCACTTACCAGTCTAATTATTTAAATACAGGGTGACTAAAAATTGCATATTTTTTGTTAATTTTTTATAAGATAATATAAGAGGAAATAGAAAAATGACAATTTTATCAAATTTATTCAGTAATTTTTCTGTATATGGTATATCTTAAAAGTTTCAATACCAAATGCAATGTTACAGACTAGCCAGTGGTGTCTAGTCTCTTTCTGAATTCTTTTTGCATCACTGTCTTTCTTTGAACAACATACTTTACACTGTCAGTTGGCCTTTTCTTTTCTTCCATGGGTGGTGTAATTTCATTAAATGTCTACCCACTAAATGTAATGGAAAAGATGTCAATGACAGATACCTTGTTTGCCATTCTGCTATACCATATTTTTCAATTACTTGGTCTATTAGACATAATCTAAATTGTAAATGACTTTTTGAGCCCCCTTATTTTGAATAAATAACAAATGAGTTCCAAATTGTGTGGTCCAGAAGGGGCATATTTTATAATAATATTTGCTCCTCACTTGTTTGGTTATAGGAATCTGTCATGGTTTGTGTCTAGATGTCCCTCCAAAGGCTCATGCAATCATAGCAGGTTCCAGTTTTTGATTGATTCATGGTCCAATGCTGGGATTATGGGTATGAGTGTCACACCCACCCTGCAGCAGGTAGTCTGCATACAATATAAGGGAGGGAAAGAAGCTTGCTCCTGCTCCTCCCTTTTTGCTCGTTGCTTTTGCTGTTTTCTGTCACCATAAACAGTTGTCCTCTTCCATGTGCCAGTGTGCCTTGGAGCCAGCTGAATATGGACTGAAATCTCCACAAACTGTGAGCTAAATAAACCCTTACTTCCTTAGTTTTGGGTGTTGCAATGAGAGAAAAGTAACCAAGACAGAAATTGGTACCACAGGAATAAGATCATTGTTGTGACTATACCTGACCATGTGGTTCAAGAGCCTTTCGGAATGGCTTGTGGGAAGAGTTTGGAAAGGCTCGGAGATGTCACCTGAAAGAGTACAGTTTGAATGCCTTAGGCTGTTCTGTATGGGAGATTCAGGTCAGAGCTCAGAAGACTACAAGACTGACAGAAATCCTGCCCATAAAGATCGGGCTTCAGAGGTTTTTGCTGGGAAGGGCTGCATTGGCTGTTGGACTCCAGATGGTGCATGTTATGGTTTGGCAAAAAGTTTGTCTGATTTTGCACATGTCCAGAGACTTTGCCTGACAGTGAGATTAAGGGTGGCCAACTAATTAATCTGGCAGAAGAAATTTCAAGGCAGTCGGATGTTGAGGTAGGGGCATGGCTATTATTGGGGGCTTTTAGCCAGATTTATGTTGCCAATCAAGAGCAAAGAGCCCAGAAGGATGATTTAAAATGTCTTAAATTTAGCCAGAAGGGAAGCGCCAGTAAAGCTGTGGACTGCAAAGATAGAGTTTAGGAGATGCTGACTGCTGAGAAGGAACAGGAGAACATAAAAGATGGCCTGAGGGCATCACAATAAGCAGCAAGTTTCCACCCTCTGCAGTCTCAAATCTGCAAAAATGAAAGATTTTGCTTTGAGGAGAAAGCTGCAGAGCACCATGTTCCAGAATGGTGACAGCTGCGCCAGGTTCCAGGATGGCTGTGGCATAGAAAATTTGTCCCTCAGAATCAGGTTCAGAGTGCTCAGCAATCCAGGCACTTGAGCCCTACAAACAAGAGAGAAGAAAGCCTGGCTACTGCTTCAGCTGTCAGTGGACCTTGGCATCATCCACGTGGTACTGGTTTTAGGTGCACACAGAATGCAAGGGTGCTGAGGTTAAGAAGGCTTCCACTCAGATTTCAGAAGAGGCCTGGGAGGCCAGCAGTGTGCCTCTGAGAAGGCAGTGCATGAAGTTATGAGTGTGAAGTCAAAGGTGCAGTGGAGATCCCAGAAGTTTTAAGAAGCCAGGAATGTGGATTGTCTAAGGAAAGCTGCAAGGAGGGAACAAAGCAGGCCTAAGAGAGAAGCCATAGGAGCTACAACTACCAGAAGTGCCATAAAGGTGGAGCCACATGGAGGTCACATTTTGCGACAGATTGCCTCACATGCTGCACATGGAACTACAGGACTTAATGTTTGCCCTGCTAGATTTTGGACTTGTTTTGGTCTCAGTACTTTGTATTTCTGTTTGCACCTTTTGGAATGGTACTGTTTATCTTGTGCCACTGAATGTTGAAAGTGTTTAACTTTTCATTTATACAGGAGTTCACAGATAAGAGTTTGCCTTACATTTTGGAGAAGACTTGGGACTTGGACTTTTTAGCAATGGTGAAACTGTTAGGACTTTGGCAATTGTTAGAGATGAACTAAAATACCTTTCACACAAAGGGATGAGTCTTTGGGGGACAGGGGCAGATGTTATGGTTTGTGTCTAGTTGTCCCCCCACAGCCTCATGCAATCATGGCACAGTCTCCTAGTTTTTGCTTGATTCATGGTCCATTGCTGGGATTATGAGTGCTACACCCACCCTAGAGTGGGTAGCCTGCATACAATATAAGGGAGGGAAAAAGGCTTGCTCCCTGCTCCTCTCTTTTTGCTCTTGTTGCTTTTGCTGTTTCCCACCACCATGAACTGTTGTCTTCTGCCATGTGCCACTCTGCCTTGGACCCAGCTGAGTACGGACTGAAACCTCCACAAACTGTGAGCTAAATAAACCCTTACTTCCTTAGTTTTGGGTGTCAGGTATTTTGTGCCAGCAATGAGAGAAAAGTAACTAAGACAGAAGCCTGGTTAAATGTTCGTCAACTCTATTAACACCATCCATAGAATTATTATAATCACTGACCACTACTGGAATTTTTTTAGTTTTGTTTCTTCATTTCAAGTTTTATCATTCTGTATTAGGAATAGGATAATAAAGAGACATCTTTTCTGTCTTTCAATTTCATAAGACAGACTTTTCCTTTCTAATGTGCTAACATTTTTTCCTTTTCTACTTTTTCTTTCACGGATCTTTTGGCACTTCCTTCCTATTCAGTCTCAGTGTCCCAAATATGTCTACTTTTTTATCGCTGAGTTCTGGAGAAGTATAAAAGTTGCATCCAATGTACTTATGATAAGACTTTTATAGATTATGGCACAAAAATTATAGGTCTTTTTTTATGAATATAATAAACACAAATTAGTAAAAGAAAAAAACCAGAACTTACTAGATTTCACTAGAAACAAACGTCAAAGGCAAATATAATGTTCTAAATAAAAATATATACAAAAAATAGTTGATATAAAACAAACAGATGTATGAGTATATCTTGTGCAAATAAGAATTGACTCTTTGAAATGACACCTACTTGAGTGACCCTCAGGATAGTACATAAACAAATGTACTGCTGGAGTGATACTCTGGGTAAACTGTTAAGTGGTTAAGATATAAATATTGCAAAATATTTCCTTGCAGCAAAGAACTTGATCATTTTTAGAAATTACTAGCAAGTATTTCAGTGTGCTGTGTAGAATAGTTATATCTATAATTTCTTGAATTTATAGAGTTAGAAAAATATTATTGATTGGCCTTTCTATAAAAATGGAAGCTTTAATACCTTTATCATTTCTTGAACACTGAAGTAGATATTATATAAATCCTTACCATAATAAATTAAAATGGTCACTATATGATAATACTGTATTTCCCTTCTCAGAGACTGTCCTGTTACAACAGTACAGTGCAACGAAATAGACAAATTTGGATATTCTAACAAAATCAAGTAAGTTCCAACATCTTGATCTCTCAGAGGAAATGCTTTCAGAACAATATAAGACTGTCTAAACCAGAAAAATATTTTAATTTACTAATTAATCACTAAGTATAGATCTAGATCACTGATTATATAAAGAATATATTTCTAGGAAAAAAATTAGCTTAAAAACTATTCTATTTTATTTCTTAATTATATTTTATGACTGTTTTAAAATGAAAATCATATCAGTGCCACTGAACTCACAGAAATTACTTAATCCAAAATTTACAAGTAAATGTTAATTCATTTCCTTTTGACTCTTTAACAGTATTTATAACTACATTATTAGCATAAAACAATAGCAAAAACCATTTAATAATAGCTAACAGTACCAGGTAGTTATTAAGTGCTGGGAACTGTTATAAATGTTTTGTAATCATCTCAACACTCATGGTAAATGTGAATTATGTATTATAATTATATCATACTGAAGCTGAGGTGAGTGAGGTTGACAAAGGCTTACCAAATACCGAAGGTTTTACAGTAAGGGATGAAACTGTTGTTTAAACAGAATCCACTGTTATATACTGTCTACCAAAAAATGGTCCTCATAATATTTTGTGATTAAGCATTTAGGAAAATGCTTTGCTTTAAATAAATCGATTATAAAAATTATAAAATAAAAATATTTTTTTCACTTGACAAGATTCACTAGATGAGAAAAGAACAAAAGCAAAACCATTTATACTGATATATGTAAAATCTACTATTTTTTTTCAGATAGGATCTCACTATGTAGTTCAGGCTGGCCTTGAACTAACTCTGCAGCCCAGGCTGGCTTTGAACTCTCAGCGACCCTCCTGCCTCAGCCTCCAGAGTGCTGCTATCACAGGCATGAACTACCACATCCAGCTGTAAAAAAATTTTTAAACTTGGAGGTAATTTCTGGAGCACATCTACTATATAACTTAATACATTAAACTATCAGTTATAAAATCCTATATATTTTAAAAGGAAACTCTTAATCCTATATATTTTAAAAGGAAACGCTTAATTTACACGGCGATGATAAAGCTGAGAAAACTCTGAGTACACGGTTC